GCGTTGCGGGATGTGCTTCTTCAACTTGTATCATTGGCTGGAGGGGATCAGATCACTTTTCGTATCCATTCAGATCAAGGCAAGGAGTTCGTTGCAAAGATTGCGCATGAGGATCTCAAGACTTTTAATCACTTCCGCGCTTTTGCGGTACTGTATTCGCATCAGAGCAATGGCAGAATTGAGCAGTTGATAGATTCGCTTAAAACTTCAACTGCATCGTTTCTCTTGAGCGGGCAGCTGGCTGTGAGATTTTGGGATGAAGTGATGGTGCATGCTGCAAAACTCAAGCGGATGCGACAGCTTCACATTCCCATACCAAAAGACCTGCCTATCCCAGGGGACTATGTTTTGGTCCGAAAGCCAGTTGAAAACATGCCGAGTTTTGAAGACCGGACAGAACGCGGGATGTTCCTCGGGCTGACAGATCATATATCCAATGGTTCCAAGGTCGCTGTTCAGAGAGATGAGAGAGTGGTAGTTCGATTTGCACGGTTGCCCATTCTGTTGAATCAGGTCAAACCGCGTTGGCATGTGATCACAAAGCCGGATTCAGGTGAGAATATCTGGGTATCGGATCGCGGTCATGTTGCATTTAACGCACCAGGACCCGAAGAGATCTTGACGGTAGAACAGAAGCAAGGTGGGCATATCATGCAAGTTGACGATGTGCTGGCAAGGCTCCGACAACTTTTGGATAGGACGCGTACTCCTGACTCGGTGCGCGATATCTTTAACTTGTACGGACACGGATTGCTGGTTCAAGAAGAAACTGCAGAGGCCCATCAGGTGCAATGCGAGGAAAGTGAGGAATCATTTGGTCACAAGTTCATGCGAGCGGTTGCATGCAGAGCAGTGTTAACTTCAACAAAACTTGAAGTTGACAAGCCTGAGAAGTACATCACAAGGACCGACGAGGAGGAGCATGAAACGGAAGAGATCTTTCAACAGTTGATGCGTGAAGCGGAGCAACGGCGTGGATCAGCTGAGGTGGTGCCGAATTCTGTGTCAACTGACAGGTGAACGAGCTGAGCGGTGGATTAGTGCCGTCCAGAAAGAGTTGGCTAGTGTTGAGAACAAGGAGGTACTCTTGCCAGTACGAGTGGGTCATGAACGCGAGGATCTGCAATTGGAGGCTGGCGAAGAGATCCCACGAACCATACCGATGAAACTAGTATTATCTGAAAAACCGCTTGCGGCACCTGGCAGCACGAAGGAGGGCATTGGCGAACAAGTATACATCGAGAAAGCACGTTTAGTTGCGTGTGGCAACTTTCAAAACAATGAGTTCGCAAAAGACGAACTATCGACAGAGAATGTGCCACCTTGGATTGTGCGTACAATGTACCACAAACTTGCTCAGGAACCGACTTGGATAGCAGGTGCAGCAGACATCTCGACAGCATTTCTCAATACCGTGCTACAACGAGGTGAAGCACCACTCTTGGAACCGCCGGCCATCATGAGACGCTTGAATCTTGTGCCACGTGGGGTGAAATACCTTCCCTTAAAGGCGCTTTATGGCTTGCGAATCTCCCCAAAAGAATGGTCGAGGGACCGGGATGCTACTCTGAACGGGAGCGTTATCAAACCTCGGACAGGTGATGTGATGCCGGCGGTGAGGTTGGAACCACTTGACATTTGCGAGGGGCTTTGGAGAATCATTGACGCTGATACGGGAGCTTTGATGGGATTATTGACGTTATACGTCGACGATACATTGATCATAGCTTGCCCCGAGGTGGTGTCAAGGTGTCTGGAGTACATTGGGCAGAAGTGGACATTGAAACTCCAGGGGTACATCAGCCGAAAAGAGTGTGACATCAAGTGTGGCGAGTTGGGACAGTTGGAGAGAAAAGCAGAACT